GTATTTTTAGTAGAGAAGGGATTTCACCATGTTGCTCAGGCTGGTCTCAAACTCCTTACTTCAAATGATCCACCTAAAATTCCAGCCTCCCAAAATGCTGGAATTACAGGCAGGAGCCACCACATCCAGCTCCGTAACTTTTTCTTAATTTTTTGTTATTTCTAGGCTATATAATTGGTCTGCAAATTTTTTCAAATTTTGGCAAACCTTCAAAAAAATTTCCAATATATTTACTGAAAAAAAATCCACCTGTAAGTGGACCTGCACAGTTCAAATGAGTTGTTCAAGTGTTAGCTATAGTAGTTCGAGGCCTGTGTGAATAGGAGGATCTCAAGAGGGTTTCCATCAAAGGATGATGCAAACTCATTTGAAACAGGATGGAAGTGGCCAGGCGCGGTGGCTCAAGCCTGTAATCCCAGCACTTTGGGAGGCCGAGGCGGGTGGATCACAAGGTCGAGAAATCGAGACCATCCTGGTCAACATGGTGAAACCCCATCTCTACTAAAAATACAAAAAATTAGCTGGGCGGCACGTGCCTGTAATCCCAGCTACTCAGGAGGCTGAGGCAGGAGGCAGAGGTTGCGGTGAGCCGAGATCACGCCATTGCACTCCAGCCTGGGTAACAAGAGTGAAACTCCGTCTCAAAAAAAAAAAAACAGGATGGAAGTAAACCATACAAAAGCTGGGGAAGGGGGTGCTATGGTCTGAATCTTTGCGCCCCTCAAAATTCATATGTTAAATTCTAACCCCCAAGGTGATGGTATTACATAGTGGGCAGGTCTTTGGGATCAGGTCATGGGGGCGGTGTCTTATAAACTAGGGCTGAGGGAGGCCCCGGCCCTTCCTCCATGTGAGGATGCAGCAGAAGGTGCCCTCTATGAGCCGGAAAGTTTTCTCCAGACATGGTATCTGCCTTGATGTTAGACTTCCGAGCCTCCAGAACTATTAGAAATAAGTTTTTCTGTCTATAAGATACCCAGTCTACAGTATGTATTGTTGTTATTGTTGTTGCTGTTGTTTTGAGATGGAATCTCGCTCTTGTTGCCCAGGCTGGAGTGCAATGGCACGATCTTGGCTCACTGCAGCCTCCGTCTCCAAGGTTCAAGAGATTCTCCCACCTCAGCCTCCCGAGTATCGGGGATTACAGGTACCTGCCACCACACCGGCTAATTTTTGTATTTTTACTAGAGACGGGCTCCCACCATGTTGGCCAGTCTGGTCTCGAACTCCTGATCTCAGGTGATCTGCCCGCCTCTGCATCCCAAAGTGCTGGAATTATAGGCGTGAGCCACTGCCCCCGGCTCCAGTCTACGTATTTTGTTATAGAGGCCCAAATAGACTAAGGCACATAAATGTCAGCAGGAGGCTGTGAAAACTGTCAGCCTGGGAAATTGCCAAAGAACCCACACAAACGCCCCCAGGAGACAGTCTGCTTTTGATAGCTGCCACTCCCTGAGGGCACAAATGCCAGATCACAACCTGAGATTTTACCACCTGAAAAAACTCCACAGCTGCTCACCCCAACCCCCGCCACCCCTACCCCGACTCCGATCAATCTAACAGAAGCTGGTGAGGGAGGGGTTGGAGCAAGGTCAGAGAAAAGAAACTCACCTGGTTTCTGAGTCTAAATAAGGCCAGAGCAGCAGGGAGCAGAGAGATTTTAAAGTAGATGAGAGTTTAAAGTTTGGATTAGGGTGGACTTTTTATTTTCTGAATATGACCAGGAAAGCTATGAGATCTACCTGTAATTTCACCCAAGGTGAGGAAAGGGTCAACAGAATGGGTCAGAAGGGGGAGCTGTGAGAAAAAAAGAAAATTATCTTCTGTTTACTCTCTACCAAGTTCAGCCTCAATAAGCCCTTAAAATATGTTTGAAATTTTGACAAAGACTTCCAAGTTTTCCTTCAAAAAGCCTGTATCAGGCCAGGTGTGATGACTCACTCCTGTAATCCCAGCACTATGGGAGGCCCAGGCGGGAGGATTGCCTGAGGTGGCGAGTTTGAGACTAGCCTGACCAATATGGAGAAACCCCGTCTCTACTAAAAATACAAAATTAGCTGGGCATGGTGGCAGGTGCCTGTAATCCCAGCTACTCTGGAGGCTGAGGCAGAAGAATCGCTTGAACCTGGGAGTCAGAGGTTGCAGTGAGCCGAGAACACACCATTGCACTCCAGCCTGGGGACAGAGTTAAGACTCCGTCCCCCTCAAAAAAAGCCTGAATCCATCAGGATGCCTTTAATAATGTGAGAAAGTGCTAACTTTTCTACATGTTCACATTCATATCAAATCATTCTAAATTTGACTGATACCATGGTCTAAAAATATCTCCTTTCTATTGTTTTTTTGAGACAAAGTCTTACCCTGTCGCCCAGGTTGGAGTGCAATGGTGCGATCTTAGCATGATCCCAGGTCAAGCAATTCTCCTGCCTCAGCCACCTGAGTAGCCGGGATTATAAATGTGTGCCACCACACCCAGCTACTTTTTTAGTATCTTTAGTAGAGATGGGGTTTCACCATGTAGGCCAAGCTGGCCTCAGGATCTGCCCGCCTCGGCCTCTCGGGATTATAGGCATGAGCCACAGCACCCGGCCTAAAAATATCTCCTTGTTGCTTCTTTTACTTCCTTGATGACCAGAGTGTTTGAACATCTTTTATGCTTATTGATGATCTATAGCTAAATCTTGTGAATTGCCTGTCCATATATTTATTCTATAAGGTTACTTATATTTTTCTTGATGATTTATGAGTGTACTTTATGTAATGTGTAATGTAATCTGGATATTAGGATTGATTCACAATACTCTGGATTCAGGGGGTATGGATTCCTCAGAATACAAATGGCCAAATTTGCCATCATGGTTTAAAATCATTACACCAATACCTATCTTTTATCCCGAAACTGTCTTTTTTTTTTTTGAGAAGGAGTCTTGCTCTGTCACTAGGCTGGAGTGCAGTGGCGCGATATCGGCTCACTGCAACTTCTGCCTCTTGGGTTCAAGCGATTCTCCCACCTCAACCTCCAGAGTAGCCGGGATTTCAGGCACCTGCCATCATGCTCTGCTAATTTTTGTATTTTTGTGGAGATGGGGTTTCACCAGCTTGGCCAGGCTGGTCTTGAACTCCTGACCTCAGGTGATCTGCCCGCCTTAGCCTCCCAAAGTGCTGGATTACAAGTAGGAGCCACCTTGCCCAGCCTCGGAATTGCAACTTAATCTCTATGGCAGCTGCTATTTTGTTTCTGAAGTTAATGAGCACAGGTGGCTGCCGCTACCTTTGTCCTCCACTGAAGCAGGAACAATTCAGGAAGCAGACTCCACCCAATTCTGCAAATCACCCCCCTTATCAATGACCCTGACAGAATTTCAGGAGTGGCAGGCCACTCCAAACTGCAAAAAGTACAGTTTGCTTATAATCCCCAGGAGGAAAGAAGATATCCAGCTTCTTCCTGGTGCAATCATGGCCACAGGAGGAAGGAATAGCAGGAAACAGAGCAAAGGATGGAAGTTCAAAACCCGACTTTCCACTTGAAAGTTCTCTCCCTAATCTTAAAATCAAATCTAAAGCTTAAATTATAAATGTAGCAGCCTTTCCCTCTCGGTAACCTCTCCATTGTCCCACAGGTAAGCTTTGTCTAAAGAGGAGGATTAGGCATAACTTGGCTCACAAAAGACTATTTCTGCAAAAGGAACCTGAAGAAGCAATGGTTAATCAGCACATGAGTAAATTCCAGAATACAGAAGTCCGTGGAGGGGGACATGTGCCTGGAGGGCAAATCACACCTGTAACTTAAAGTACAAGTTCTGGCTGGGTGCAAGGGCTCCCACCTCGAATCCAAGCACTTTGGGGGCAAAGGCACGTGGACCACTTGAGCTTGGCAGTTTGAGACCAGCCTGGGCACCATGGAGGTGGCGGGGGGGTGCGTCCTTACAAAAAATTAAAAAATTAGACACTGCAGTGGCAATTCGCCTATAGTCCCAGCTACTGGGGAGGTCGAGGTGGGAGGATCACATGAGCCCAGGAGTTTAAAGCTGCGGTGAGCCACGATTATTGTAAAGCAGGAGCGGCCACGAACAAACCTGCGAAGGAAGGGGCTTTTTATTTGGCTGGGAGTCTCAGCAGACTCTAGTCTCAAGAACTGAGATACGCCGGGCGCGGTGGGTCAAGCCTGTAATCCCAGCACTTTGGGAGGCCGAGGCGGGTGGATTACGAGGTCGAGAGATCAAGACCATCCTGGTCAACATGGTGAAACCCCGTCTCTACTAAAAATACAAAAAATTAGCTGGGCATGGTGGCGCGTGCCTGTAATCCCAGCTACTCAGGAGGCTGAGGCAGGAGAATTACCTGAACCCAGGAGGCGGAGGTTGCGGTGAGCCGAGATCGCGCCATTGCACTCCAGCCTGGGTAACAAGAGCAAAACTCTGTCTCAAAAAAAAAAAAAAAAAAAACTGAGATTCCCGACTAGAAAATCCTGGCCTCTTTTAAAGGCTCACAGTCTTAGAGTGTACATGTGAGAAGGTCGTGATCGGTGAGGTAAGCGAGGGGTGTGCGACTTAGGTGGGGGTCTAAGCCTGATTAAGCAAGAACAATGCCTTCAGGGGAAGATTCCTCCACACCATGCCTGTGATCTGGGTGGGGGGAGGTGAGGGGGTGTTGATCTTTAACCTCCAGTCCAGCTAGTGGCACCGGTTTTATCCCCTCCAAGGACCTTGTGCCTTCTATTTTCAACGTTTACTTCTTTTGAAATGCAAGGCTAAGGGGAAGTGGTCTTAGAAGCTTAAGAGGAAGGAGTCTCCTTCCTCAATTGCAACCCTGCACTCCAGCCTGGGGAATAAAGTGAGACTCCCTCGCCCCACCCCCCCACCGCCCCCGTGTCAAAAAAATAATAAACTAAATAAAATAAAGAGTAAGTTCTTAATTGCGGCTAAAAGTAGAGGCAGTTTGTATGAAGATAAAGTGTATGCTTACTGAAAAGAACTCACGCCCACCCTCTACCCACATACATTTTTTCTTGTCCTCTTCACTCTTGTAAGAATAAAGCTTCTCCATCAGGTGATTAGGAAGCAGCTTGTGGAGGTTAGACAGTACCTCAAAGGTGTGACACAAAACTTCTGGCTGGGCATAGTTTTTTGGTTTCTCACACTTGTCAAGGAGTGAAAATTTTACCTCGCGGGAGCTGCTGCTGGCTGTTCTCATGATGGCCGGTGGCGTCACGGAGAAGAACAAACGGAGAACATGAGGAGAGGAGGGGCTTGCGATTGTTCTCCCGGCAAGCTTTCCTCTGTCTCCAAGACAAGGTGGAGCGGACTTTCTGACCTCTTATTGCCCGGCATTCTGAGAGTCACAATGGCCCAGGTACTGGTCTGGAACCCAGCGTGCTCATCCTGCATTCAAAGCAGAGGAAATCAGCCCATTGAAAATATCCTGCCACGTCATTCGGGGACTTTTGGCAGAAATTCCACTCTTGTGTCTGGACGTGGACAATTTCTGGGGGAAACTGAGAGCTTTGTTAAAAGGAAGAGGGGAAAGTGGGGGCACACATATCCAGTGATATTTTCCCATCTGGTACTTTGTAGAAGCCTTCCTCCCTGTATGTACCTAATTAAGGCTCCACAGACCTACGAGGTCCCAAGAGAGAGTAGTTACATCAGCACAGTCCTCAGCAGAACCGAGGAAAGAGCTTCATCGTCCACAATTGAGGAAATGCCCAGATTAACACAGGTAAGAAGCCAAACTGCTTCGTTTACTCATCCACAGAAAACAAAGTAAACAAATGCTCAACCAGAGCTTTCCCGGTAAGAAGCCATTCTCCATTGTAGACCAAAAAGCAGAGAACAATAGAAGTATTAAATAATCTTAAATCACCACACTTTTTTTTTTTTTTTTCCAGATGGAGTCTTGCTCTGTTTCCCAGGCTAGAGTGCAATGGCGTGATCTTGGCTCACGGCAACCTCCACCTCCTGGGCTCAAGCAATTCTCCTGCCTCCACCTCCCGAGTAGCTGGGATTACAGGCATCTGCCACTGTGCCTGGCTAATATTTGTATTTTTAGTAGAGACGGGGTTTCACCATCTTGGCAGGCTTGTCTCGAACTCCTGACCTCATGATCCACTCACCTCAGCCTTCCACAGTGCTGGGATTACAGGCATGAGTCACCACACCTGGCCTAAAATAACCACACTTGATAGCACAGCCCAGAACAAGCTAAAAGCTGCCAAGAACTAGTATCAGATTTGGAACACAAATGCAAATAACAGGGTTTGTTACAACTACTTTTAGATTTCAGCATGCTCCGCCAGGAGCCAGGCTCCCCATAATTGCTCTACTCTTCATGAACCAGCTGGAGAACCACACTGCAGGCTGGTGAGCAGCAGAGAAGGCGTGTGAGCCTAGCACACCATGTCATGCTATGGCAAACTCGGCAGTGTGGGCCAGCTTTTTATCAACCTTAAAAACCTTTGGCCAAGACTATTAAAGCATCATGATTATATCATATGATACTTTAGTGGCCAGAGCAGCAGATATAAAATTCCATTCATATATATAAATATATATATATATATGAATGGATAAGGTCTTGCTATGTTGCCCAGGCGGTCTCCTGACCTCAAGCAATCCTCTTGCGTCAGCCTCCCAGGGTGCTGTGATTATAGGCGAAAGCCACTGTGTCTGGCCCATCCCATTTCTTACCTTTCAACCTGCAAACTCAAAAAGTAAAGCTTTAAAAAATGAAAATAAAATACTTTAAATGCAAGTACATATTTAAAATGTGTTATATAACCAACAAGAACCATTTGAATTCAATGTGATTCTCATAATGTTACAGGTGTTTTGGTGGGGAGAAGGGGAGTAGAATATTCTGGCAGCTAGAAGACATATCCTCAGCTTCTTTCTTTCAAGCAAAGTTGAGTGCATTCCTCTAAACCCTCATTTATATAAATAGCAAAGAACAAACCATGTTTTAAGCCATTCAACATGCCAAGGAAATGATCTCCTAAAACGTAATTCTTTACACTCCATGTAAATTGACTCATATATTCGTAGTCATTGCTTTCAATAGCAACTGATGGAATGTTTATAGTTATCTGACCCATGCTGACCTTGGCTGAAATCTGAAGTAGGTCACAATTATTAATTTTTTTTTTTTTTTTTGAGATGGAGTCTAGTTCTGTCGCCCAGGCTGGATGGAGTGCAGTGGCATGATCTTGGCTCACTGCAACATCTGCCGCCTGGTTTAAGTGATTTTCCTGCCTCAGCCTCCTGAGCAGCTAGGATTATAGGTGCCTGCCACCACGCCCAGCTAATTTTGTGTTTTTTTGTAGAGATGGGGTTTCACTGTGTTGGCCAGGCTGGTCTCAAACTCCTGACCTTGTGATCCGCCTGCCTCAGCTTCCCAAAGTGCTGGGATTACAAGTGTGAGCCACCACACCTGGCCTAAATTTTGTTTTTAAATAAACTATCAGATGAAAATATATACATATATGTATATTTTTTACAATGAATGACACTTCTTCTAGGAATCAATCTCATTCATTTTCTCTAATTACAGTATGGTTAAAGAACACTGTTTAGGATGGGAGACATCCGTCATGAATGACACTTGGCAAATATTCTGCTGCTAACCAGCTGTGTGATCTTGATCTGAGTCAACCAGGTCTCAGCCCATGGTGCTAATATTCTTTGATGGAACAAATGCTTTCATTTTGTATTTTGTTTTGTATTCCTCTTATTTCCAATTCTTTTATTCACTGGCTAACAGATTTACCTTTTCAAAACTGGGCTTCTAATATGTTATTATTTTCTCCCGAGTCTTTTCTTGTGATAAGAGCCGCATGCTGGGCCAGCAGCCCGCGTAGGTGCTAGCAGTGTATTATTAACTAAATTGATCCCGCAGCGCAGCAGCTGCAAGACTCTGGGTTGTTTTTCTAGTTAGGCTGATCTTTTATTCATGACTTTTAGGTGAATGCAATTCCTTTTTCTGTTCCTAAGAGGGTTTGTGTCTCCAGAATACCTTCCCCTTCCCCACTGCCATGGTGGATATGACAAGATCAGCTGGCTTCCAGAAGGCAAGGTGTTCAGTAATGTTTGAACAAAGAAGATTATCTCCAAGTTTTTAAAGGAAGGCATTCTAAAGAAAGTATTCCATTCACAACAAATGAGGTGGGGGGGTCTGAGGATCAGAAAGGGGATCCAGGGCCGGGCGCAGTGGCTCAAGCCTGTAATCCCAGCACTTTGGGAGGCCGAGGCGGGTGGATCACAAGGTCAAGAGATTGAGACCATTCTGGTCAACATGGTGAAACCCCGTCTCCACTAAAAATACAAAAAATTAGCTGGGCATGGTGGTGCGTGCCTGTAATCCCAGCTACTCAGGAGGCTGAGGCAGGAGAATTGCCTGAACCTAGGAGGCGGAGGTTGCGGTGAGCCGAGATGGCGCCATTGCACTCCAGCCTGGGTAACAAGAGTGAAACTCCGTCTCAAAAAAAAAAAAAAAGAAAGGGGATCCAAGCTATACCTTTCCTGGCACCAAAAAGTAAGTTCCGACACTGAAACTTTAACCAAAATTTAATGTGAATTTGTGACATAACGCTAGGAAAATATAGTTACAGAGTATAGGCAGAAATCAAGTCTTTTTTTTTTTTTTTTTTTTTTTTTTTTGACGGAGTTTCGCTCGTTACCCAGGCTGGAGTGCAATGGCGCAATCTCGGCTCACCACAACCTCCGCCTCCTGGGTTCAAGCAATTCTCCTGCCTCAGCCTCCCGAGTAGCTGGGATTACAGGCACGCGTCACCATGCCCAGCTAATTTTTGTATTTTTAGTAGAGACGGGGTTTCACTATGTTGGCCAGGATGGTCTCGATCTCTTGACCTCGTGATCCACCCACCTCGGCCTTCCAAAGTGCTGGGATTACAGGCGTGAGCCACCGCACCCAGCCTAGAAATCAAGTCTTAAAGGAGAAATTATATGATTGAGAATTTATTCAAAAGCACTAGTTGCAGCATATGCAGATGTGGGATTCACTGATTGATGTGTTTATTTTGCTTCCTTTTGGAAATATGTTCATATCCATCACTATCACATTGGTTTCAGGAATCAATAGTTTTTAAACAATATTTCCCATATTTTTCCAACAAAATGATGGCCTTTCAAATAAGACATTGCTATGGGAACAGAGTGTTAAAGGTTAATTTTTAAAACTTCAAATTGTAAATGTTTAAATATATATATATATATATATATATATATTTTTTTTTTTTTTTTTTTTTTTTGAGACGGGGTTTTGCTCTTGTTACCCAGGCTGGAGTGCAATGGCGCGATCTCGGCTCACCGCAACCTCCGCCTCCTGGGTTCAAGCAATTCTCCTGCCTCAGCCTCCCTAGTAGGTGGGACTACAGGCGTGCGCCACCATGCCCAGCTAATTTTTGTATTTTTAGTAGAGATGGGGTTTCACCGTGTTGACCAGGATGGTCTCGATCTCTTGACCTCGTGATCCACCCGCCTCGGTCTCCCAAAGTGCTGGGATTACAGGCGTGAGCCACCGCGCCCGGCCTTAAATATATATTTCTTAAAAAGGAATTATACAAAAACAAGAAAAGATATTTAGGATGAATGCTCGTAGAATAGAGTTGTAAATCAGGATAAATTTGCCACTGCTGAAAGACAAAGCAGTTGCTCAAAAAAGAAAGACAAAAGACTAGATCGCTAAACCGTATGCTAAATACAAATTGCCCATAATTGAATTGAAATATTTCCCACCGACTTAGCATCTTATTTGAGAATAAAAATGTGTATTATTTAGTAGAAAATATTGTCCTGACTTTCAGAGAATGTCGCTTAATTATATTGAACAAAATTCTGCTGTAGGGTGGGTGTGGTGGCTCAAGTCTGTAATCCTAGGACTTTGAGAGGCTGAGGAGAGTGGATCACGTGAGGTCAGGAGTTCAAGACCAGCCTGACCAATATGGTGAAATCCCATCTCTACTAAACATACAAAAAAAAAATAAGCCGGGTGTGTGGTCTGTGCCTGTAGTCCCAGCAACTTGGGAGGCTGAGACAGGAGAATTACTTGAACCTGGGAGGCAGAGACTGCAGTGAACCGAAATGACACCACTGCACTCCAGCCTGGGCAAAAGAGTGGGATTAGCCATGACCTTGGCAATTCTAAAAAGAAAAACAAAGGGAGATGAGGGCAATTGCTGGGTAATATCAAAACGTGAAAGATATTGAAGGAGGTAGAGTGAAGAAGACGACTTTTCCCTCTAGAATAATTAGAAACTAAGTAATGTTGCTACTGACACGTCTTTGCATAACCCAGGACAATGAAAAGGAATGTATGTCAAGGTGCTTTCCAAAGTAGTTATGTAGTAGTCAATGTCATGGCCTTTGTTATAGGAGGAGAAACTGAGGTGGACAGCAAGCCGTACTTACTGGACTACTTACTAACTGACTGGCCCAACCAAGGCTTGCCTTTGTCTCCTTAGCCTGCCTCCGTTGTTATTAACTTAAGAGCTTGTTAAATGCCTGAGATGGAGAGCATCTGCCTCATCCTACTGTGTTTATGAAAGAATGGTTTCGCTCGGGATCAGCTAATGAGGTGCAGGTTTAAAGTAAGCCAAGCTGAGAATACTGCTAAAAACGGAATCCTGAGCATGGCCATGAGATCGCTGGAGGTGTAGGGGCTGAGGGCTTGGCTCTCTGAAGTTTGCTAAAAAATCAACTTGCAAAAGGCAGAGTAACTGGGGAAAAGGCATACAAATATATCTGGCATGTGTGTACACATGAGAGTGTACAGAATGAAAACTCAGAAAAGGCCGGGCGCGGTGGCTCAAGCCTGTAATCCCAGCACTTTGGGAGGCCGAGGCGGGTGGATCACGAGGTTGAGAGATCGAGACCATCCTGGTCAACATGGTGAAACCCCGTCTCTACTAAAAGTGCAAAAAATTAGCTGGGCATGGTGGCACGTGCCTGTAATCCCAGCTACTCAGGAGGCTGAGGCAGGAGAATTGCCTGAGCCCAGGAGGCGGAGGTTGCGGTGAGCCGAGATCGCGCCATTGCACTCCAGCCTGGGTAACAAGGGCGAAACTCCGTCTCAAAAAAAAAAAAAAAAAAAAAAAAAGAAAACTCAGAAATATAGGGGAAAGTCTCCATGTTTATGCTTAGGTTCAACAAAGTATAGACAACTGTGTAGAAAGACGACTGGACAAAAAGGCTCTGACCTGGTGCTAATAGCCTGAGTGGGGAAACCCAGCAAGGCCTGTCTATCTGAATTCTTGGCCTCTCTGAGCAGCATTCCTGCCTTCTGGATATGGAGCAGGGCCCTCTCTGAAATGGGGGTCTTATGACCTACAGTCAAACAAGGTAGGTCAAGTAATTTCTTTATGGCCAGTTTTTACACAGAAAGGCCAAGGGAAAATTGAAGTCATATTTTTAGGTTTTATGGCTGGCTTTGGGGGAAAACCATTCTGATTTCTGTAACCTGCATTGGAGAAAAGGGATTTTAGTTTCTCTGGCTAGCCTTGGAAGGAGACTGGGACTGAGAGACAGGAGGGCAGAAGATCAGAAAAAAACTTTTGCTTCTGAGGCTATTTCCAAAGTTGGGGTAGTGTTTACCAAGCCCCAACAGAAGGAAAGTGCATTCTCTTTGGCCTTGGGATTGATGTTAAGCTGGATCTGAGCTGCTGTAGAAAATGACCCACTGTCCAACATCCTACGCTGGGCCAGAGCCAGATCAGACCCACAGGTTTGGAGAGGGCACCATTTCCAAGTTGTTGCTTTTATATTTCACACCACCAGAGCCGAGCACATTTGCAGTGAGGGCAGGGCCAGCCACAATTTTGATGCTGATGTCAAAGCATTCAAAAGTCTCCAGAGAAAGGAAGACCAGTTGAGTGGGGGTGATAATATGAAAGGAACATTTTTAAGAATAAGTTTTGTTAAGAAAAAAAAAAAGAACTTAGAGGATGTATTTATGGATGACAAATCTCAGAAGGACTCTAAGGGATCAGGAATCAGTCTGAGTTCTGAAACAAAAGAAAAAGGCATGAATAGAAACATAAAACAAGGAAGATAGGAAATGTGTAAGCCAGATATGTGGAATTCACACACAGGCACACATAATTTCTGTTTCAAGAATGTTTGTAAAAAACCATTAGCTGGGAATACATGGACCCCAATATTTACTCCCATTCACAATTTTTCTACTAATTTTAAGTTGAGAAAGGTTACCGAATACATCTAAGGCTCAGGTTACTCAATTATAAAATAGTAATAACTAGGCTGGGCACAGTATTCCCAGCACTTTGGGAGGTCAAGGTGGGCAAATCACCTAAGGTCAGGAGTTTGATACCAGCCTGGCCAGCATGGTGAAACCCATCTCTACTAAAAATACAAAAAAATAGGCGTGGTGGTGGGTGCCTGTAATCCCACCTACTAGGGAGGCTGAGGCAGAAGAATTGCTTGAACCGGAGAAGGGGAGGTTGCAGTGAGCCAAGATCGCACCATGACACTCCAGCCTGGGTAGCAGAGAGAGATTCTGTCTCAAAATAAATAAATAAACAAATAAATAAATAAATAATAGGAATAACTAGTGGTACCTGCTTCATTGGATTATTAGGCATATACCTCAGTTAATCCATATGAAATGTTCCACACCATGCCTGGCCTCTAGTCACCACACCATACATTCCAGAAAATCCTATTTTTGCAATACTTAAATCAATTCAAACATTTATTGAGTGCCGCACCTACTACAGTACATGCCAGGCACTCTGTTAGATAGAATATGGGCTGATAGTCACCTTCAAGGTGTTGAAAGAGAATGAGATATTGTAAATGAATAATTATTATAACGAAGCAAGGGTCCTGGAGGAGATAGCAATTGACTCATGTTTTCTTTTTGTATTTTTTTCTAGCAATTTACTCTTCCTGAGTAGTCAAGAAAAATGACTTGTGAGTTAGAACTATATAACTAGAACTTGACAGGTTTAAAAATAAAAAGGAGGGGCCGTGCGCCGTAATCCCAGCACTTTGGGAGGCCGAGGCGGGTGGATCACGAGGTCAAGAGATCGAGACCATCTTGGTCAACATGGTGAAACCCCGTCTCTACTAAAAATACAAAAAATTAGCTGGGCATGGTGGCACATGCCTGTAATCCCAGCTACTCAGGAGTCTGAGGCAGGACAATTGGCTGAACCCAGAGGGCGGAGGTTGCAGTGAGCCGAGATCGCACCATTGCACTCCAGCCTGGCTAACAAGAGCGAAACTCCATCTCAAAAAAAAAAAAAAAAAAAAAAAATAAATTAAAAAATAAATAAATAAAAATAAAAAGGAGATAAAAAGGAGGTACTATTATAGGAAGAGTAACTGATTTATGCCCTGGAGGAGAGTGCTTAGGAAAATTGTACAGCATCCGATGTGCTTGATATGTTGTGGGCACTGGAAGAATGATGAGCAGGTACCTGAAGGATGGCTGCGGAATTTGGGTTTCCTTCTTGAGGCATTAGGAGGCAGTTGAGCAGGTCTGTATTTTAGAGCAGCAGTATAGTGAACAGCTGAAGGAGGAGAGGGCCTTGAAGGGAAACCTCCAGAGAGCCTGCAAGGAATGAGGTTCATTTACTTACATGGATCATCCTTCTACTGTGTGCCCAGCACAGTTTTAAAGGGTTGGAGGTATAGAAATGAACTAGATAAGCAAGGCACCTGCTTCCATGGAGTTTTATATTCTACTGGGGAGAGACAGACAATACAAAAACAAACAAGTAAACAGAATTAGCAGGACTATGAGGATTACAAAGAAGTAAATAAAACAGTGTCATGAAATAGAATAAGGTAGGTGGTAGGTGGGAAGGGCTTCTTTAAAGGGAAGGTCTTTCTGAGGAGAAAGTGGAAATGCAGAGGAAAGAGACAGGAGTCAGGGATCAAAGACCTGAGAAACCCTTGAAATTGTGTTCAACATCTGGTAAATAAATGTATTTTTACAGGGAGACTCTCAAAGGGGCATGGCCATGATTTCATCCCCCCAAAATGATGTATAGTATTCATTTGCTGTACTTACATATGTAATTGTGTTTAAAATTTATCTCTATATCAATCTGTTGTAGTTGTACTTATATATATAATTAATTTTGTTTTAAATTTTTCTATCAAACTGTTGGAGGTGGGGGAGATAGCTATCTAGATATATCTGACTAGATACAGAGATACTCTTCCCCCACCCTCCACTGATTTCATGGAGCTGTAATAAGAGATATGCATTTAGGGGTACGAAATTGGTCTCTGTGTTTTAAATGTATCCTCCACATTAGAAAAAACATCATCTTTTGTTCTTCCTATTGAAAGGCTGATGACAGACAGACCTGAAACTGACCAGTAGTGGGCTTGGTGTCAACAAACATGCCTCTTCTTCTGTGTTAATTATGTAATATATTGTACAGGCATAGATATAACTTTACATATATCAACGCGTACATATTTTAGCTTAGTCTGGAGAAACACGGGGCAGTGCTCCTGGCTGGATGACAGCAGGCGGTGGGGGCCGAGGCGGGTGGGCTAGGCCTGGGTGCCAGAGGCCTACTGGCCGCCTCGCGGAGCGCTCAGGCTGGAGAGGCCCAGGGAAGGGCCGGGAGGCCTCGGAAAAGGCCCCGGGAGAGTCAAGGAGCCCAACAAGGCCCAGAAAGGCACCAGAAGGTCCAGGACGCCTGGAAAGTCCGAGAAGGCTCCGGAAGGCCCGGGGCGGCTCAGGCTTCGGCGCGAAGCCCCTGGACGGCGCCTCCAGGCCAGGATGGCTGAGTGGGCTGCACAGCAGCCCCGGAGGGGGCCGGGCGGGGCGCAGGGACGGGGCCTGAGGCTCGGTGCCCTGCCCCGGCTACCCCGCGGCCCGCGAATACCGGTGGACCTGGTGGAACGCGGGGCCTGCCCGGGTGCCCTCGCTCGCTGGTCGTTGCCAGGCGACCCTGACGGTGGGGAAGCCCGCGGAGCCGCAGCCCCGGCCCCAGCAGGCTTCTCTGGGCCCGGCCTGGGCCCCGGGAGCGACTCCCACCCCTGCGCCGGCCCTCCGGCTTCGCAGGCCCTGCACGGCCGCCCAGACTGGGTTCGAGGCCGCCCGCCGCCCGCCGCCCTCTGTCGCTCAGCTGCAGGAAGGCCGAGGCCGAGGGGGCGCCCGGGCCTGGGGGGCCGCACTAGGAGAGGACGCCGGGGAGAACACGTGGGCCTGCGGCGCGGTGGCGTAAGAGCCCGGCCCCGGGGAGCCCGTAGACCCCTCCTGCTACCCCTGGAACTTCGCTCCCCATCCAGCCTGGCTGCGGCTCGGGAGGAGAAGGGGATTCCTCTTCTCGAGGGCCTCCCAGCTCACTTGAAATACGCGCCTTCCCGCACTCCTGCCCCTGAAGCTCCCGTCCCCAGACTCTTAGTCCCCAAGGAAGGTGTCCTTTGTCCCCAGGGCCGTCCTCCAGGTGCGGCGGCCTTTTCCAGGTACTGGATGCCCTCCTCCGTGGTACACACCCGGGGCCCCAGGCAGTGCCACCCACTCAGCAGCCGCCTTCCTCCTGCATTCAGACCCAGTGTCTGACATGCACACAGCCTGTGGACCAGTACCGGTGCTGGCTGAAAACCTCGCGGAACTAAATCTCCCATTTCTTCATATACCTTTCCGTAGGAGACAATCAATTGTAAACGATCAGCGGATAGGCCGATTACTCCTTTACACGAATTACTTATTTGTGTTTCATTCCAGATAGCCATACCTTAATCCAGTGACTGTTTTGCTTGTTACCTTATCATTCTCTAATTCTTTTATTATTATTATTATCGACATGGAGTTTTGCTCTCGTTGCCCAGGTTGGAGTGCAATGGCACAATCTCGGCTCACTGCAGTCTCCACCTCCCAGGTTCAAGTGATTCTCCTGCCTCAGCCTCCCGAGTAGCTGGGATTACAGGCATGCGCCACCACGCCAGGCTAATTTTGTATTTTTAGTGGAGACAGGGTTTCTCCATGTTGGTCAGTCTGGCTCGAACTCCTGACCTCAGATGATTTGCCCACCTTGGCCTCCCAAAGTGCTGGGTTTACAGGCGTGAGCCCCTGCACCCAGCCTAGTTCTCTAAATCTTTTACCTTGAACGGTAGTGTGTGTTTTAAATACCTTGATCAATCGGTTTGGAAAATATTGTTTGGTCCTGAGAGCGGTTTGGTGCCTCTGAAACATGCATGGATGATTACCTGACCTAGTTGTAAGGGTTTAACCCTGCTTTCAAATGGAGCCGTTGTTTTGAATGATGAAAACGAGATTCTGTGTCCCTGTTTGTTGCTATTTGTATTTTATCTTCTCATCTGCTACTTGCTTTCTCACTTTGACCTCAATTTCCCAATCTTCTGTTCTGAGATCTGCCAGCTTTCTCTGCCTGTGCTCGTTTTGGGTCAGGCTTGCCCCTTGTTTCTGGTAGGTTTCACACTGTCACCCGCACCCTGCAGTCCTAGCCGCCCCCTCCCCCTTCTTTCTGAGCATTCTCTTGCCTCCTTAAATGGGAAATCAAAACTCACCCTTTCTTTCTTTTTTGTAAATGTTGACCCTTACCCATAAATGTACCTGTCCCACAATCTGTATAGGATTTTAAGGAAACAGAGGAGGAGCTACAGCAACATGGGGAGAAGAAATGAGAACTGTGGCGGCAGCCTGCGTGTGTCGAACGTCTCTCAGGAGGTATGGCAGGCGCTGAACTCGAGTGTTTGGACAGCGGCTCCTGTTGCTAAGACATGACTCCCATGGAGTTTTCTTGCAGTGATGCCCTCGCTGCTTTGCATCGCCAGGTTTATCCTGTTTTCCTCTTGGCACATTTGGACCAGCAAATGGAAATTTTGTATTTCTTTTAACAAAGAGAAAATTAGCCAGCTCTTCTCCAAATGTCAGACATTTCTGATTGCAACTTGGCTTTGTTAAAGGTGCTACCTTATTATCAACCAGGCAGCTGCTCACTTTTGTTTTCAAACACCTACTTTGTGAAAAATATTACAAGGCAGGTGTGATATCAAAAAGTATAATCAAGTCTCAACTCTTAAGAAATTTACAGACTCTCAGACTTTATAGTTAATAAGCCTTCTTTACCAGTTGATCAATTTGGTGATGTTAATTTTTTTTTTTTTTTTTGAGACGGAGTCTTGCTCTGACACCCAGGCCGGAGTGCTGTGGTGTGTGATCTTGGCTCACTGCATCCTCCACCTCCCAGGTTCAAGCGATTCTCCTGCCTCAAACTCCTGAATAGCTGGGACTACAGACGTGTGCCACCACATCTGGCTAACTTTTGTATTTTTAGTAGAGATGGGGTTTCACCATGATGGCCAGGCTGGTCTCGAACTCCTGACCTCAAGTGATCTGCCGGCCTCAGTCTCCCAAAGTGCTGGGATTACAGGTGTGAGCCACTGTGGCCAGCCTGGTTATGTTAATTTTATTGTATGATTGCAACAGCACAATTTCATGAACTGAGGATATTTCTCTCACATGTGCATTTCATACAAGGATACCAGGATTATATAGCGGAAGAAAGCTTAAAAATCCACCAGATATCATGAAAAAGTTTGAAGGGGCACATCTCACACATGAACATGAAAACCCAGGCATCATGCTATCTATGAACTACAAAGCGGTCCTTAAAATACACAGCTGGGCCTCACCTTCATTCCTGTTTTTTTTTTTTGTTTTTTTTTTTTTGAGATGGAGTCTTGCTCTGACTCCCAGGCTGGAATACTGTGGTCCAATCTCAACTCACTGCACCCTCCACCTCCCAGGTTCAAGTGATTCTCCTGCCTCAGCCTCCCAAGTAGCTGGGATTACAGGTGCCCACCACCACGCCCAGCTCATTTTTATATATTTTTTTTTTTTTGAGGCGGAGTTTCACTCTTGTTACCCAGGCTGGAGTGCAATGGCGCGATCTCGGCTCACCGCAACCTCCACCTCCTGGGTTCAGGCAATTCTCCTGCCTCAGCCTCCTGAGTAGCTGGGATTACAGGCACACGCCACCATGCCCAGCTAATTTTTTTGTATTTTTAGTAGAGACGGGGTTTCACCATGTTGACCAGGATGGTCTCGATCTCTTGACCTCGTGATCCACCCGCCTCGGCCTCCCAAAGTGCTGGGATTACAGGCTTGAGCCACCGCGCCCGGCCCTCATTTTTATATTTTTAGTAGAGATGGGGTTTGATCATGTTGGCCAAGCTGGTCTCGAACTCCTGACCTGAGGTGATCTGCCTACCTCGGCCTCTCAAAATGCTGGTATACAGGTGTGAGCCACAACACCTTTTCCTCACCCTCATTCTTTAAAATCAGAATTTGTGGTTTTTTTTTTTTTTTTTTTTTGAGACGGAGTTTTGCCCTTGTTACCCAGGCTGGAGTGCAATGGCGCTATCTCGGCTCACCGCAACCTCCGCCTCCTGGGCTCAGGCAATTCTCCTGCCTCAGCCTCCTGAGTATCTGGGATTACAGGCACGTGCCACCATGCCCAGCTAATTTTTTGCACTTTTAGTAGAGACGGGGTTTCACCATGTTGACCAGGATGGTCTCGATCGCTCGACCTCGTGATCCACCCGCCTCGGCCTCCCAAAGTGCTGGGATTACAGGCTTGAGCCACCGCGCCCGGCGGTATTTTTTTTTTTTTTGGCTACTATTATTTTTAAAAAGTTCCCCAGATGATTCTCATGTAGAGAGTAGCCCTTGTATGTATCATGCCAGAGAGCAGAGAATTAATTTTATTAATTATATTTTTCATAAATCTAGAGAGAAAAATATACAGAGAAAAATAATCTGCAACCTCTCTTCCAATGTTCACCTACCCTTCTTATCAGGAGATATCTCTTTGTGGATAAATTAAATCCTCATGCTGTGTTGAAGCTTATTTCTTCCTATTCCTTCTTAGTGAAGAGCTTTTATCTAATAATACCTAATATTTCATTTGCTTAGAGTTTAATTGACAAAGCTTTTCTTATTTGAGACAGAAAACAACTGGGTTCATTCCTAAAAAGTTACTTTTTTTTTTTTTTGAGATGGAGTCTCACTCTGTTGCCTAGGCTTGAGTGCAGTGGCATGATCGCAGCTCACTGCAACCTCCACTTCCTGGGTTCAGGTGATTCTCCTGCCTCAGCCTCCTGAGTAGCTGGGATTACAGGCATGTGCCACCACTGCCTGATTTTTGTATTTTTATTGGAGACAGGGTTTCACCATGTTAGCTAGGCTGGTCTTGAACTCTGACCTCAGGTGATTCTGAACTGTCTCGGCCTCCTAAAATGCTGGGATTACAGGCATGAGCCACTGCACCCAATCTTTTTTTTTTTTTTTTTTTTTTTTTGAGAAGGAGTTTGGCTCTTGTTACCCAGGCTGGAGTGCAATGGCGCGATCTCGGCTCACCGCAACCTCCGCCTCCTGGGCTCAGGCAATTCTCCTGCCTCAGCCTCCTGAGTAGCTGGGATTACAGGCACGCGCCACCATGCCCAGCTAATTTTTTGTCTTTGAGTAGCTGGGATTACAAGCACGCGCCACCACGCCCAGCTAATTTTTTGTCTTTTTAGTAGAGATGGGGTTTCACCATGTTGACCAAGATGGTCTCGATCTCTCGACCTCGTGATCCACCCGCCTCGGCCTCCCAGAGTTCTGGGATTACAGGCTTGAGCCACCGCGCCCGGCCAGCACCCAACCTTTTATAGGCTTTTATATCTGGTACTCAGATACAGAAAGTTTGATGAATGTACCATTGTGTTCCAGAGACACACTGAACAGGACATTTTTATTACATTTTAAAAATCAATTTTGAAAACCTGTGTGTCATTATTTTTAACAAAATGTGAATGAAACCACAAATTATCATAAGAGCCTTTCTGCCCTCCTTCCTTTCCTCCTTCCCTCCCATAAATGAATGAATGAATGAATGAATGATATTAAAACCTTTCTAATTCCTGAACAATAGGTATTATCAAGCTGATAAGGGTTTGAAAGGAAGAGATAAGAGAAAATTGCATTCTCCTAAAAAATGCTGATAAGTTCTTTTTTTTTTTTTTTTGAGCTGGAGTTTCGCTCTTGTTAGCCAGGCTGGAGTGCAATGGCGCGATCTCGGCTCACCGCAACCTCCACCTCCTGGGTTCAGGCAATTCTCCTGCCTCAGCCTCTTGAGTAGCTGGGATTACAGGCACTCGCCACCATGCCCAGCTAATTTTTTGTATTTTTAGTAGAGACGGGGTTTCACCATGTTGACCAGGATGGTCTCGATCTCTTGACCTCGTGATCCACCCGCCTCGGCCTCCCAAAGTGCTGGGATTACAGGCTTGAGCCACTGCGCCCGGCCGATAAGTTCTTTATAATGAGGTAGGAAGAGTCATGAAGCTTTATGAGTTTTCTCATACTTTACCCAAAGAACATGTAAAATTATGAGCTTTTTATGTTTCTTAATGTTAAGTTTATCCTAAAACATTGTTTTAGGACTTATCCCACTGGAATTTGGATTCAGAAGTACCTGTTCCTGAAAATAAAAACCTCCCAGCTGGAAGGATAGTGCAGCAGGTGGTAAGAAAGCCTAGATGTGTATACTTATACTGAAATAATCACTCATTAAAGGGGGTTTGTTTTGAATATAACCAGTTTTATGTAACTATTAATTGTCATTTTTATACACATTCTTTCAGGCAAAATTAACAAGTTAAGGATAAATGTTTGGTGTTAAAGTATTCATAAGCATATTATTTAAATTATAAGTATGTTCTTTAAAAAAAATTTTCTTCCTAAAAGTTAAACTTTAAATTTCATTTCTATAGAGTTCTTCATGCAAGTCAAAGCCTTTATTATTTTACAGAGTTTCAAATTGCTTATTAAATTGATATTTCATTATATTAAGTATTTTTCAGTATAGCAATACTATAAATGAAAATTGAGTATAGTCTTTTTTAGTCGTTGCCAAAAGGGAAGTAGTCCCATCCTTTAAGATGTCTTGAAGCAAGTTGGGTGCAGTGGCTCACGCCTGTACTCCCAGCACTTTGGAGGCTGAGGCAAGTGGATCACTTGAGGTCAGGAATTCGAGATCAGTTCGACAATATGGTGAAACCCCATCTCTACCAAAAATACAAAAAAGTTAGCTGGGCATGGTGGCACATGCCTGTAGTCCCAGCTACTCAAGAGGCTGAGCTCAGCAGAAGAATTGCTTGAGCCCAGGAAACAGAGGTTGCAGCGAGCCGAGATCGCACCCCTGTACTCCAGCCTGGGTGACAGAGCGAGACTTTCTCAGCAACAACAACACAATCTTCAAGTAGTTGAAATAACCAATATCTTGTCCTGAAGTAGTGGAAAATTAATCTTTTTATACTTTTTGATCAAAATGTAAAACATTTAACTGCAAAATAAAGACAATCTTAATGGTATTCAAGGCTTATTAGTTAACAGTTTAGTTGGTATTTATAATAAATAGGTTATGCTAATTTCTGCTGAAATCAGTAAAAATAAATGATTTCTTTTTTTTTTTTTTTTTTTTTTTGAGACGGAGTTTCGCTCTTGTTACCCAGGCTGGAGTGCAATGGCGCGATCTCGGCTCACCGCAACCGCCGCCTCCTGGGTTCAGGCAATTCTCCTGCCTCAGCCTCCTGAGTAGCTGGGATTACAGGCACGCACCACCATGCCCAGCTATTTTTTTTGTATTTTTAGTAGAGACGGGGTTTCACCATGTTGACCAAGATGGTCTCGATCTCTTGACCTTGTGATCCACCCGCCTCGGCCTCCCAAGTGCTGGGATTACAGGCTTGAGCCACCGCGCCCGGCCTAAATGATTTCTTTATATATAAATGAAGTATCAATTTTACTATATATTCCTTGATTAGAACAAGAGCTATACATTCTTAGAACAAGAATAGCAAACAAATAAATTGATGTTTAAAAATCTGCTGCTGCCTTATAGAACTATTTGGAAATTCCAGTAGACCAACTGATGCTAGAACCTAATTTGTCGGTGCATACTCAAAAAAGCATACAGGTGGGATTTCATTCATCAGACCCTTAAAATATTATATTTTAAATATATATGCAGCTACTAAACTATTACCCATGATTTTTCTATCATTAGAATAGTAAGCAAGGGATATTTCAATTCTGGAACTGTCCTCTTGATGAAGGAAGTACCATAGAGAACAGGTAAGTGAATAGTTATTTTGTAACACCCTACCGAAATACATTTAAATACAGATGAGACAACTATTTGAAATACAAAAAATGTATTCTGTGGGAATGATGGGCAATTATAGAAATCCACCCTAAAACAGGAGGTGGCTGCAGATACCACGAGACAATTAAAATAGGTAAGAGTTGGCTGGGCGCGGTGGCTCACACCTGTAATCCCTGCAATTTGGGAGGCCGAGGTGGGTAGATCACCTGAGGTCAGGAGTTCGAGATGAGCCTGACCAACATGGAAAAACCCTGTCTCTACTAAAAATACAAAATTAGCCAGATGTGGTGGCGCATGCCTGTAATTCCAGCTACTGGGGAGGCTGAGGCAGGAGAATTACTTGAACCCAGGAGGTGGAGGTTGTGGTGAGACAAGATTGTGCTATTGCACTCCAGCCTGGGATACAAGAGTGAAACTCTGCCTCAGAAAAAAAAAAAAAAAAGAATAGGTAAGAGTCAAGAGTTTACCATGCTCTGACAATGAAGGTTTTAGATGGATAAAGTATGGACTTCCCGTTGAAAGGAAAAGGAACTGTAATAGAAAAGTAGTATTGCATTCTAGGGACGATGTTAATTTTTTTTTTTTTTTTTTTTTTTTTGCGACGGAGTTTCACTCTTGTTACCCAGGCTGGAGTGCAATGGCGCGATCTCGGCTCACCGCAACCTCTGCCTCCCGGGTTCAGGCAATTCTCCTGCCTCAGCCTCCTGAGTAGCTGGGATTATAGGCACGCGCCACCATGCCCAGCTAATTTTTTGTATTTTTAGTAGAGACGGGGTTTCACCATGTTGACCGGGATGGTCTCGATCTCTCGACCTCGTGATCCACCCGCCTCAGCCTCCCAAAGTGCTGGGATTACAGGCTTGAGCCACCGCACCCGGCTAATTCTTTTTTTTTTTTTTTTTTTTTTTTTGAGACGGAGTTTTGCTCTTGTTGCCCAGGCTGGAGTGCAATGGTGCGATCTCGGCTCACCGCAACTTCCGCCTCCTGGGTTCAGGCAATTCTCCTGCCTCAGCCTCCTGAGTAGCTGGGGTTACAGGCACGTGCCACCATGCCCAGCTAATTTTTTGTATTTTTAGTGGAGATGGGTTTTCACCATGTTGACCAGGATGGTCTCGATCTCTTGACCTCGTGATCCACCCGCCTCGGCCTCCCAAAGTGCTGGGATTACAGGCTTGAGCCACCGCGCCCCGCCGGTGTTAATTCTTTATATGTAGTAATTCATTTAACTCACAACCGACCATATAAGGAAGGTCGTTATCATGATCTCTGTTTTACAGATGAGGACATTGAGGTATGGTGACAAGTTAAGTAACTTGCTCAAAGCTGCACAATATTAATGAATGGTAGAACCAGGATATGAAAGTAGCCTGGTTCAGGCTCATAGAGAGGACGGTATATCGCTTCTCAGATCTTACCTTTTTTTTTTTTTTTTTTTTTAATACTTTAAGTTCTGGGATACATGTGCACAATGTGCAGGTCTGTTACATAGGTGCACATGTGTCATGGTGGTTTGCTGCACCTAACCTTACCTGAGTTTTAATTCTTATTTTTTGGTTCTTAAACTTTATCGTGCATTAGGACTAGCTAGAAGGCTTCTTCTGGGACGATTTTTGATAGACATTGTTTGCTTCCTTTTTTTTTGTTACAGGAATTTTGAAAAACCACAGTGGCTAACATAGAAGGCTTTTTAAAGTAACCTAATTGCATTTTTCAGTTTCATTTCATCTAATTCTGGATCAATAAACATCTCGATTTAATTTCAGTTTGAATTAGATATCCTCATTTTCAAACATCATAATTGCAGTTTCACTATAGGCAAACATAGAGTTAGCCACATTAACCTATTGGCTATTCACAGCCACAGTTAGCCATTTTCAGTATCATAAGCTTTGTGCTTGCACAAAGGGATGCCAACTTAATATTTTAATCTCAATTTTTAAAAATTTATATAATTGTATGTAGAGCATTTTTGGAAACTAACATTTCCATTACAGGTAGCTAGATACTCATATGCCATTGGGAACTAAACATTAACCAATCTTTGATAAAGGGTACTTAACCATATCATTTTAATAGCATTTTAATTCTAGTCAATAAACCATTCATTGGTTAAATTATTTTTTAAAGGGAATTCAAAAAATCTTCTGTGGAAACTGGCTTTAATGTAACCAATAATCCTGTAAGGGTCTTCACTCCGAACCACTCATTAACAAGTGCTTCAGATGATGAGCAAGTTGGTCCTTACCCTGGACTGCCAGGGCCATTAGGTGCTTGCTGGGCCTATGCTGATGGAGACTTTTTTAAGAACAGAAATGAGATTTATATTAGTTCATGTTCAACTATAGGAAACAACGAAGGTGAAACTTTACCTGCTTCTAACAGGAATTTGAAACATGGAAACAGCAGTGTGGAAGAAAATTTAACAGATGAAAGTGATTTATCAGAAAATGAGAAAGCAAATGATACTTTACTCAGCTATTTTAAAAAGATGGACCTGAACTTGAAGCCAGAAGCAATAGAAAATGTTGAAGAATCTTTCACCGAGGAGCCACATGAAGTATTTCCATATCCCGATTTTCTCCCTCCTCCTTTCAGTACTCTAGACTTGCACAGTTTAGCCCTCTCAAAATCTGAAAATTGGAAAGCGACAGTGGAACCTGCAGAAAGCTCTCTTGAACACTTGATAACTCGTTTACTGGAACTGGAAAGATTACAACATATGACTATTCAAAAAGAGAGGCCCAGACTACAAACTACTCTCTGTACTCCAGCAGTAACCGAACGACCCTTTTCCTCCAAAGTTACACCAAAAGTGAGACAGCCAAAACCCTACGACTCTCTGAGTCTTCAGATACCTTGTGTAGATAAAAGTCAAGAAAAAAGAAAAAACAGTTCTGGTTCTTGCAAGCTTGAGCAGAATTCCTTAAAATGGAATTGGAGCAATGCTGGCAAACATAGATGGAATTCTAGACCGTCATCTCTAAAAAGTTCTTCTACCACAAACCAATTGATTGCAACTTATGATGGTAGGAATCCCAAAAGTTCTATTTTAAATCCATGCCAAGAACTCTCATCCAAGCCTGCTGCTGGCCAGACAACTCAATCACTGGTTAAAATAGTCTCCCCGAGAAGTCTGCCATCGAGGTCTCCAATGCCAGTTTCGCCTATACTTCTGTCTTTTCCCGAAAATCAGAAGGAAATTAAGGCACCAAAGAGAAACTTTGGAACCAAAAAGAAACTTTACCGACAAACTATAGTGTTGAATAGACCATTCTATATTCAGAAGCTAAACTGTTTGTCACCTTCCTTTATTGCTAAGGATAAGTGTTCACCCACTGACCAACAATAACTTTTCTTTCATACATCTCAATGTGAATAGATCTATTCTAAGAAGCCCAACTAAGATATGGTTAATTATTCCAAGACACAGGTTTTATTAAAAAAAAAACAACAACAACAGTTGCTTGATATGATATGGAGTGTAACTTGTGAAAAGCACTGCTGGGATGTCTATATATAAACTCAAAGGCTTCTATACTGATACATTTGACAATCTCTTGCAATTTGTGTTTCAAAGAAATGGTTCATTTAGTAGACTATTCTATTCAAAAGGCTATTGTTTTCTTCAGTGATCATTTTCCAGTATAATTCCATCAATAAATGGTATAATTGACTTCTTGCAGCTGTAGTTCTTTTATTATATTGTTATTTAGTCATAAGAGTTGATTTTTTAAAAGTCTATCCACTCTGGTATCTTTTCTCCTCCGCCCTCATCTCCACAGATCTATCACTTTGACCTATCCTTTGAGCATTTATTTGGCCCTTAAAAGCTAAAGTTGTTTTATCAATGTACAAGATCCTCTAGTTCCTCCCAAATCCTTAGAAATTTTCTAAGTTCCAGGCCTTTCTTTGTCATATACATGAAAGATACTTCTCTTTGGGGCCCAAACTAAAGGTTTGGGCATGAAGTAACCCTCTTCCACTCAGACCCAATATTTTTTAAATGTTGAAGGAGGGCCGGGCGCGGTGGCTCAAGCCTGTAATCCCAGCACTTTGGGAGGCCGAGGTGGGTGGATCACGAGGTCGAGAGATCGAGACCATCCTGGTCAACATGGTGAAACCCCGTCTCTACTAAAAATACAAAAAAACTAGCTGGGCATGGTGGCGCGTGCCTGTAATCCCAGCTACTTAGGAGGCTGAGGCAGGAGAATTGCCTGAGCCCAGGAGGCGGAGGTTGCGGTGAGCCGAGATCGCGCCATTGCACTCCAGCCTGGGTAACAAGAGCGAAACTCCGTCTCAAAAAAAAAAAAAAAAAAAAAAAAAAAAATGTTGAAGGAAAGATTGGATAAGAGCACTGTCCACAGAGCAGCCAAAATGTAGCTGGGATTACAGGCACGCGCCACCATGCCCAGCTAATTTTTTGTATTTTTAGTAGAGACGGGGTTTCACCATGTTGACCAGGATGGTCTCGATCTCTTGACCTCGTGATCCACCCGCCTCGCCTCCCAAAGTGCTGGGATTATAGGCGTGAGCCACCACATTCGGCCACTGCTGGAAGTCTTAAGGCGGATTAGTTGAAATTCATTCAGCCAACACCGAGCTCATTAACTAGTGAAAAAGGGAAACTACATGACTGACAAACTTTGCTGCACCTCAGAATCAAGGAAAAAATAGAGAGTCCTAGCTTCTATTGCAGGCCCTCTGAAACACAATCTTTGGAAGTGGGACTCATGGACACACATTATAAACAAACATTCCAGGTGATTTTAATAATTTTAATGGAGGTGGTTCTTGGATCACACTTTAAAAGATGTAAGGGAAAGGACTGATGTAACATACCTACATCAGAGGTTGAGATATTTTGGGGTATATTTTGGTTTTAAGTGGGTGGTGAATTCAAATTAATTTTTTTAGAACATTAAAAAAATACACCATTAAGGCCCGGCGCGGTGGCTCACGCCTATAATCCCAGCACCTTGGGAGGCCAAGACGGGTGGATCATGAGGTCAAGAGATCCAGACCATTCTGGTCAACATGGTGAAACTCCGTCTCTACGAAAAATACAAAAGTTAGCTGGGCATGGTGGTGCGTGCCTGTAGTCCCAGCTACTCGGGAGGCTGAGGCAGGAGAATTGCTTGAACCCAGGAGACGGAGGTTGCAGCGAGCCGAGATCGTGCCATTGCACTCCAGCCTGGGTAACAAGAGCGAAACTCTGTCTCAGACAAAACAAAACAAAACAAAACAAACCAACCAACCATTAAAACTTCAACTATTGCCCAAAAGTACCAGATGAAAAGTAAAAGGTGGCTGGGCACTATGCCTCACACCTGTAATTCTAGCACTTTGGGAGGCTGAGGCAGGTGGTTCACAAGGTCAGGAGTTCAAGACCAGCCTAACATGGTGAAACCCAGTCTCTACTAAAAATACAAAAATTAGCCAGGTGTGGCGGTGGGTGCCTGTTATCCCAGCTACTTGGGACCCTGAGGCAGATAATTGCTTGAACCAGGGAGGTGGAGGTTGCAGTGAGCCAAGATTGTGCCATCCAGCCTGGACAACAGAGCAAGACTCCATCTCAAAAAAAAAAAAAAAAAAAAAAAAAAAGTAAAAGGCCTCCCCACCTCCTAACCCCCCCACCCTCACCCCCTCCCCCCAACAAAAGATAGCCACTGAGTTTTTGGATATCATCCCTCCAAATGAGATGGAATATTTGTTAGGGATGAGTGATTAATGGATAATTCAAATAAACGCTGAAGAGAACGACTGTAGCTTTTCTTTTCCAGCTTTAGTAGCTTAAGGCTCAAATAGTTTTCTTAGAGGCAGGGAACACAGGCAGCATCTGTTTTTAGTTTAATTTCGAAGAATTTTCTAGAATCATAGAGCATAGCAATAGAAAACAAACATAATTGGTTAGCCTCCCTTAGCATAAAATTTTACCTGTATCCCATATAATTAGTCTCATTAATCCAAAGTGGTATAAATGGACTTTCATTTTCACTAAATTCCAGCTCTCAATGACCTGTTTCCCACCAACCATCCTTAATTCTTAGAATTACTTCTAACTTGTGTACTGAACCTTTTTGACAAGCTGTCTGAATCCATTCTCTTTTCTCCCTTCTTTAGCTACCTAGATTCTTCCCCTCACCTCCAGGGTCATGGTGTAATTTTGTATTTATAAAACCTTCAAAAAGGACATGTCTGTTTTTCTCACCACTGTGTCCTGGTAGGATTGACTGACCAGTTATCATGCATGGCATAGTGGTTACAAGCACTAGCTCTGGTGCCAGGCTGTCTTAAATTCAAACCCAGACTCTTGCCACTGAACAGCTCTAACACCTTCAGCAGTTTCCTTAACCTCTCTTTCTTCACTTTTCTGATGCGTGAAGTGGGTAAACTGTCTTTACCTCACATAATCACAAGGATTAAGTGAGTAGGAGCAAAAGTGCCAGGCGTATAGCAAACACAAAATACATTAGGGAAGTAAGAATGACACAGGAGGGCAGGCCACCTCGAGAATGAACCTCCTTAGCACTAGTTAGGTGCAGGAACAATGGATTCCTAACAAACAAACGTCCCATTTCTTGCAAGGCATGTGCCAAGGCACAAGGAAGTGGTATGGTGCAACAAAGACACACTCTTTCAGTGAGACTAGGCTTGGGAATGGGCACAGGAGATGGGACCGGAAGCAGCAAGTTTTGTAGGGATTAGAGATGTATCATCTCATGTTTCTTCTGTAGACTGATGGGGGGAAAAGACCTGGTTCAAACAGGTAAAGCGGGACCCCCTTGTCCACGTATGTAGTGGACAAAACTCGAGACATGAAAAAATACAACATATCTGGCTATTTTTCATACTTGATGGAAGTCAACATCCACCATTATCTTTAAAGAAAGGCAGTTTATAACAAAAACTCTTTTCAGGAAAATTAACTTGGTTTGCTCCCAAGTTCCCATGTTTAGCTCTCCAGTCACTGATAGTTCTCAGCTCACTGGATCTTCATGAGATTGAATCTTTCTAAACAGAGAAAGTGTGTGGCTGGATGTAGTGGCTCGCACCTGTAGATCCCAGCACTTTGGGAGGCTGAGAGTAGATCACCTGAGGTCAGGAGTTCAAGACCAGCCTGGCCAACATGGCAAAACCCTGTCTCTACTAAAAATAAAAAAATTAGCCAGGTGTGGTGGCAGGTACCTGTAATCCCAGCTATTTGGGAGGCTGATGGAGGAGAATCACTTGAACCCAAGAGGCAGAGGTTGCAGTGAGCCAAATTAGACCACTGCACTCCAGCCTAGCGACGGAGCGAGACTCGTCTCAAAAAAAAAAAGGATGTATGAAAGGTCCTCAACCAATATACCCTGTGTACTATTTTCCCTAAAATGTACTGAATACAATGACCTCACAGCCACTTTAGATGGTTATGCAGTCCAAGGAAATTATAACTGGGGCCTTTACATGAGGACTAAATAGAGCCAGTGGCATTTGACCATTTCTTAGAAAGCCAGGACTCCACTAGATGAGCTTCTACCTGTCACTCTGCAGTAGTTAGCTCCAACTGGGTGGCTGGGTGGGTGGATACGTTCTAGAAAGCCAATCTGACTGCCTTTCTCCAATCCTGCTTTGCATGCACTACAATTCTTAAACTACACTGTCTTAATTATTTTACTCACTGTTTTGAAAAGCCAAAAACAGTTCCTTAAGAAAATAAAGAGTAGGCAGATTGAGGATAAGAGCCCAAGATTTGTCAAGCTATCATGTGGGCAATGAACCAACTTATTATTTTTTTTTTTTTTGAGACGGAGTTTCACTCTTGTTACCCAGGCTGGAGTGCAATGGCGCGATCTCGGCTTACTGCAACCTCCGCCGCCTCCTGGGTTCAGGCAATTCTCCTGCCTCAGCCTCCTGAGTAGCTGGGATTACAGGCACATGCCACCATGCCCAGCTAATTTTTTGTATTTTTAGTAGAGACGGGGTTTCACCACGTTGACCAGGATGGTCTCGATCTCTCGACCTCGTGATCCAACCGCCTCGGCCTCCCAAAGTGCTGGGATTACAGGCTTGAGCCACCGCTCCCAGCCAGAACCAACTTATTTTTATCATTATAAAAAAGGGAGTTGGCTCATTACTTATCTATGTTTCCATTACTAGGAAAACCAAAGCAGAAATGTATGTAACAGAAAACATGAATATAATAAATCCTTTGGTGTTCTGCACTTAATGCTTTAAAAATGTTTTCATATTTGTGAGGAAAATCTGAACTCAAGCAAAGTAAAAAAGCAGGAGACAGTATGATAATAGGAAGCATTTTTATTCAGTTTCCCAATAAGTCAATTAGAAACATGCACTGCTAAATGCAAGTTACAATTCAAACGGTACCACAAATAATTAGAATATACACTGCGCATTTTCAGAAATCAGCTTCCATATCTTGGTCACTAAATGGAAAGGTTCTTCAGAACAGTCCCTTACCCTATATACAGAAGGAGAAGAAAAATTAAGGATGCCATAATGACATCTATCACAATAACTGGAAAACATTTTAAAGTTAATTTAGCATACATTTTTTGACATGTAAAAAATATAAATGAATTTGTTGTGGACATTTCTATAAGGAGGACATTCCAATAGGAGGAGAATAAAATCCATGTTGAAAATATACTCGAACTAGGATACGATTAAGA